TGTCTCCCAGCATAGGCCCTGGGCCAGCCCTGGCTGCTGTGAGCATTTGGGAAGAGAATGAGCAGATGAGCATTCTTTCCCTCCGTCTCTCAAAAATAATTAATAAATTAATAGGCGGGCATTGTGATGCACTGGGCTAAGCCACTGCTTGGGACACCTGTATCCCATACTGGAGTATCAGTTTGAGTCCTACCTTCTCTGTTTCTAATCCAGCTTCATGCTAATGTGCCTAGGAAGGCAGCAGATGATGGCCCGTGTACTTGGGTCCCTGCCCACCCATGTAGGAGACCCAGATGGAATTCCAGGCTTCTGGCTTTGGCCTAGCCCAGCTCTGGCTGTTGTGGGCTTCTGGGGCATAAACCAGTGGATGGAAGATAGATCTCTCTCTCTCTCCCTCTCCCTGTCATTCTGCTTTTCAAATAAATATTACAAAACTAAAGGAGATACTTCCAGTGGGTACTACTTGTTGAATGAATGGAAAACCTGGAGTGTTTTAAAAGTGTTAGACCAAAATGACAGGGTTATTTTTTGCCCGATCATACTTTGTGTTCTAGTACATTTTCAGTTACTATAACAAAATACCTGAGGCTGGTTATTTTTTTTTTAACAAGCCATCTCCTTTTTATTTTTTTATTTATTTATTTGACAGGTAGAATTACAGTGAGAGAGAGAGAGAGAGAGAGAGACACAGAGAGAAAGATCTTCCTTCGGTTGGTTCACTCCCCTAATGGCTGCCACGGCCGGCGCTGCACTGCTCTGAAGCCAGGAGCCAGGTGCTTTCTCCTGGTCTCCCATGCGGGTGCAGGGCCCAAGCACTTGGGCCATCCTCCACTGCACTCCCGGGCCACAGCAGGGAGCTGGACTGGAAGAGGAGCAACGGGGACTAGAACTCGGCGCCCATATGGAATGCCGGCGCCGCAGGCCGCAGGCAAAGGATTAACCAAGTGAGCCACAGCACCGGTCCCAAGGCTGGTTATTTTATAAAGAAAAGAGGCTGATTTAGCTCATAGTTCTGGACATGGTATCATTTTCTGTTCAACTCTAGTAAGGGCCCCGTTGGCTATACTACACACAAGATGAAAGTGTGTACAGAAATCATCTGGTAAGACAGGAAGCTAGAGCAACTTAGGAGTCAGGCTCACTCTTTTAATAACAACACACTCTCTTGTGAACTAACTGGGTTCCCGTGAGAACTGCATTAATCCCTTCTAAGTGCTTAGCCCCCAGTGACCAAGTTACCTTTCACTCTCGACATCACTACACTGGAACCAAGCTTTTAACCCACAAATCTCTAGGGAACATGCTCAAACCATATCCACATCTTAGCAATGGTTTTTTGGTTTCCTGATCATACCTTCCATGAGGTATACTCAGCAAATTACTGTTTCCCTCCATCTTCTACCTAATTTTCACACTGTCGCTCCCCCTCTTCGTGGAGGAACGACACAGGACCCTGCGCTGTTCTTTTGTTTGCTTGGCCCTCCCCGGGTTTGCTGCTGGTTCTTCCCGGGTTGGCTACCATCCCTTCCACCTCCATGGAAGGGCGGTTCCCCCTGCCACTTTCCCCACTTCCACGGGGGAGCGGCACACCGCCGGCTGGCTCTCTCGGGGGCTGCACAGGTGCTCCTTCAGATAGATGTTCCTGGTGCATGTTGTCTCTCTCCTCCTTTATAGTCCTCTTCCACCAATCCCAACTATGCTACCCACACGCCGAGTACGCTGCTCTCCTCCAATCAGGAGCAGGTCCTGCTGTTTATTAGTTGAACTGGAGGCAGCTGTGTAGAAGCTGTTTCCTCCTCTCCCAGCGCCATATTGTGGGAGAGCAGATGCATAGAATAAGTCTTAATTCCAGTAACTTAGTCCAGTCCGAGTTGCTCCCAGTTGCTCCCCACATCACACCCTATACATGAACTGAAATTTGTGACAGTTTGGCTGGGGCAACATTATCTTTGCCCCACAATAAAGATCATTACACAATTTAAGAAGATTGACATGGACTGGTAGTGTGGTTCAGTGGGCTAAGCCGATCCCTGTGATGCTGGCACCTATTTGAGTCCTGGCTGTTCTGCTCCCAATGTAGTTCCTTGGTAATATGCCTGGGAAAACAACAGAAGATGGCCTAAGTCCTTGGGCCCCCTGCACCGATGTGGGAGACCCAGAATAAGCTCCAGGCTCCTGGCTTTGGCCTGGCCCAGCCCCAGCCATGGAGGCCATTGGGGAGTGAACCAGCAGATGGAAACTCCCCTCCCCCCATAACTCTGCCTTTCAAATAAATAAGTCTTTAAAAAATATAAGATTGTCGGGGCTGGCACTATGGCGCAGTGGGTTAACACCCTGGCCTGAAGCGCCAGCATCCCATATGGGCGCCGGTTTGAGACTGGCTGCTCCACTTCTGATCAGCCCTCTGCTATGGCCTGGGAAAGCAGTAGAAGATGGCCCAAATTCTTGGGCCCCTGCACCCACGTGGGAGACCCAGAAGAAGCTCCTGATTCCTGGCTTTGGAGCAGTGCAGCTCCGGCCGTTGCAGCCATCTGGGGAGTGAACTATCGGATGGAAGACCTCTCTCTCTATGTAACTCTGACTTTCAAATAAATAAATAAATCTTAAAAAAATTTAAGATTGACAGTTTTAAAATTTTATTTTCTTCAGGGCATTTAAGAAGAAATGTTTCTATGGCAATAAATTTTTGCTAAAATTAAAAAATGTACCTGAAAATCTAAAGCAAGTTTGAAGTTGGTAGGAAAATGTTTAAGTTGTGTACAGGTTTGATGGGAAGAGGCAAATCTTTGGAAGGAAACAGAGGGGAAAGAGGAAAGAAATCAGAGAATGTAAGGGGAGTGACATCAACTGAAGCTAGGAAGGCAGCAGGGGACCAAGGGTTGGGACTGACCTGAGAAATGAGGTGGCACCATTTGAACGCAGTGAGGACCAGCTACAAGAGAGGGCCTTCTGAGAGCTTGTGTTAGGGAGTGGGCTGTGAACCAGTTTATTCTAAGCCAGTTATTTGCATCAGCAATTCCTGGGAATGAGCTTTTAGTTTAAGAAGGGAAAGGGGCCAAGAAAAGAGGGAAATTACTCTAGTTATCATCCTAAGTTTTTAAAAATTTTATCTGGAAAGCAGAGAAACAAGGAGACAGACCTTTCATCTGCTGATTCATTCCCCAAATGTGTGCCACAACAGGGCAGGGCCAGGCAGAAGCCAGGAGACAAGAACTCCATCTGCGTCTCCCACATATGTAGCAAGGACTCACAAGTATGCGAGCCACCACCACTATACCTGAGGGTGCCCATTAGCAGGAAGCTGGATCAGAAGTGTAGGAGCCAGGACTCCAATCAGGCACCCTTCTATAAGATGCAGACATTTTTAACTGATAGGCTAACTGCTAGCTCCTCATGAATTTTCTAAAGATTCCTCTCCTATAGGTATATCTCAAAAGCCAAAGTCCTGGGCCGGCGCCACAGCTCACTAGGCTAATCCTCTGCCTGCGGCGCTGGCACCCCACGTTCTAGTCCTGGTTTGGGCGCCCATTCTGTCCTGGTTGCTCCTCTTCCAGTCCAGCTCCCTGCTGTGGCCCAGGAAGGCAGTGGAGGATGGCCCAGGTCCTTGGGCCCTGCACCCACATGGGAGACCAGGAGGAAGCACTTGGCTCCTGGCTTCGGATTGGCACAGTGGCCAGCCGCAATGTTCCAGCCATAGCGGCCACTTGGGGGGTGAACCAACAGAAAAAGGAAGACCTTTCTCTCTGTCTCTTTCTCTCTCTTTCACTGTCTAATTCTGCCTGTCAAAAAAAAAAAAAAAAAAAGCCAAAGTTCTTCATTCTACTGAGTCGAATAAAGCCTAAAGTGTAAATAAACAGTTGTCACAACTGGGTGTAGCTCTTCTAGCTGGATTTTTATTAAGCCAAATGTTTTAACTCATATTAACAACTGGTATTTATATTAGCTTTTTGCAGATTTATAGAGCGCTTTAAGTGGTAAAATCTAATCTAATCAACAAAGCACTGTCACATTAATGGAATCAGACAATCATTCAAAGAGCAAAGGTTTTGGGAAGGGTTGTTGAAATGGTCACAATAAAAAATGTTTCAAGGATTATGTGGAACTTTAATCCAAAGTAGTAATGGAAAATCTGATTAGTTTTCCACGTTTTCTACACCTTGGTTTGACAGTCTTCCAATCAGGTTTTTGTATATCTCCCTTGATTTTTTTTCAAACTAACAAGCAAATTTAATAAAGTTGTGGAATACAAAATTGATACCATTTCTGTACACTAACAATGAACTATCCAAAAAGTAATAATCCCAGTTAGAGTAGCATAAAAATAAATAAACACTTAGGAATAACTTTAACCAAAGAGGTAAAGATCTGTACACTGAAAACTATAAAGTATTGATGAGAAAAATAAAAGAGGTATCTCCCTTGATTTTCACATTTATAGGATCTCAATGTTTATTGCCTTGTACCATTTGTCGGGATCATATTCCTAAAAGATTCTAGACCCGGCGAGTAGCCAAGTTAGTGCGTGACCACTAAGCAGAGGCGGGAGCAAGTCTTTTCGCACTTTGATTAGAAGAGTTGTACAGAAGGTCTGCTGGGGTGAATTCAATCTGATCCGGTGCACTTCATCTCCAAAGAGCAGGCATTTTAATTGCCCCGGGCGAGCCAAATAAGACCCTGGCCTATGGCGCCTCTCCACGCATGTTCATCTCGCATTTCTAGAGCTTTGGTCCAAGTGCCTTGAGTCCAAGGTAAACGCGCACTTCTACGTCTATTACCATAGAGGACACAGCACTAGCCTTCACTGCTAAAAAAAAAAAAAAAAAAGATGATTTGAAATGTCCATTGTGGTAACGGAGAGGGGAGACCCTAGTGAACACGAGAGCTTAACTACCGCTGTCATTATTATTAAAAATCTCCGCCCAGCTCAGTCCGGCTACTCTTATAGCCCGAGGGAGCGACCGCAGCCGAGGACTACAAAGCAGAGAATTCTGGGGGAAGGAAGTGACGTTTGGCGCAAAGCATGCTGGTCTCAGGCGGGCTCCGCTTGATGCTACATTCTCACTCGGCGTAGTTGCGGATAACGTGGTGTTGCAAGGAGTTGTAACCGGTGTATTTCCCCTTTGTCAGGATCAGACAAAAGTTAAGTACCACTCGGCTCGAGGACCGCGTGGAGTACCGTGCGGCTGCAGACAGGACCGGGTATGAGCCTTAGCTGTTGCCCCCTGGTTTGTGCTTCCGCTCAAATTTTTAAGAGGAAATTGTCACTAGTCGGGGACGTCTCCTCGGCGAGATCTCCTTGGCATAACCAGAGAGTGAGAGGGTGGCTGTCGGGGGAGTTCTCTGCTTCAGTTTTGGGTAAAAGTAGTGTGGGGCGAACTCCAGTGGTGGAAGGGAAGGCGGAATTGAAGAGTTGGAGCGGCAGGTGCAGAGCAGAGCGCAGGGTGGGAGTGAGGCGGTTTGGCACGGCTTTGGGGGCGTGAAGCAGAAGTGCGCCGGATAACTTTTCCCAGAACAGACCCGACCCGCGGCCGCTCGGTGTCCACTTGACTTTCAGACCGCGCCAAAAATATTAACCACCTTACGCCTTGTGATCTCATGCAGTCTCTACCTGTATGTTGTGTTCCCCAGCCATACTCTCCGTTGCTTGAACAGTACATATATTAATAGTTAATTGCATTAAGTAACTTGTTAAGAACTTGAGGCAAATCACACGTTTTTCTGAACCCCGGGACGGAGCTGAGAGGGAAGGCATTTGCTTGGGTGGAGCCTAAACATATTAACCCAAACTTGGTGGTGGTTTTAGATCTAGCCAGCTGGCAACCATGAGTGAATGGACGAAGAAAGGCCCTTTAGAATGGCAAGATTACATTTACAAAGAAGTCAGAGTGATAGCCAGTGAGAAGAACGAGTATAAAGGATGGGTTTTAACTACAGACCCAGTCTCTGCCAAGTGAGTATTCGTCCTCCCTGAAGTCATGGCTTCCTTTTGTGCTGCCTGTATGTATGTTCTATCCAAACTGGGAAAGAGGGTTAACAAAGAATTGAGGCCAGCGCCGCGGCTCACTAGGCTAATCCTCCGCCTTACGGCGCTGGCAAACCAGGTTCTAGTCCCGGTCCGGGCGCCGGATTCTGTCCCGGTTGCCCCTCTTCCAGGCCAGCTCTCTGCTGTGGCCAGGGAGTGCAGTGGAGGATGGCCCAGGTGCTTGGGCCCTGCACCCCATGGGAGACCAGGAAAAGCACCTGGCTCCTGGCTCCTGCCATCGGATCAGCGCGGTGCGCCGGCCGCAGCGCGCCGGCCGGGCGGCCATTGGAGGGTGAACCAACCGCAAAGGAAGACCTTTCTCTCTCTCTCTCTCTCTCACTGTCCACTCTGCCTGTCAAAAAATAAAAAATTAAAAAATAAATTAAAAAAAAAAAGAAAAAAGATTTATTTTTAATTTATTTGAAAGGCAAAGTAGGGGCCGGTGCTGTGACGCAGTGGGTTAATGCCGTGGCCTGAAGCGCCGGCATCCCATATGGGTGCCGGTTCGAGACCCGGCTGCTCCACTTCCAATCCAGTTCTCTGCTATAGCCTGGGATAGCAGTAGAAGGTGGTCCAAGTCCTTGGGCCCCTGCACCCACGTGGGAGACCTGGAAGAAGCTCCTGGCTTTGGATCGGCGCAGCTCCGGCCATTGCAGCCAGTTGGGGAGTGAACCAGTGGATGGAAGACCTCTCTCTCTCTGGCTCTCCTCTCTCTGTGTAACTCTGAATTTAAATATATAAATAAATCTTAAAAAAAAAAAAAAAGAAAGAAAGGCAAAGTTACAGAGAGTAGAGGAGAGAGAGAGAGAGATCTTCCATCTGCTGGTCCACTCCCCAAATGGCCACATCTAGGGCTCTGCCAGGCCGAAGCAAGGAGCCCAGAGCTTCTTCCACGTCTCCCACATAGGTACAGGGGCCCATGCACTTGGGCCTTCTTCCACTGCTTTCCCATGTGCGTTAACAGAGTGGAGCTGGAGTCAGAAGTGGAACAACTGGATGCTTGCGTTGCAGGCAGAGCTTTAACCTACTATACAACCATGCGGTCTTGTTCAGAATACTTTTGTAACACCTAACAAAAGCAATAATAACCTTAATATTAGCTGATTCCAAAACAGTTCATATTTTTTCCCAGTTGTGTCAGAGTTCTTTTCGTATTAGTGATTCAGTTTGGTTGATATGTTTCTACAGTATCTTTATGTCTCTGTACTTTCTCTCCTATTTTTTGTTGCCCATGTCATTGGTTTTTGAAAAACTGGTTCATTGTCTTAGAGAATTAAACATTCTGGATGTAGTTCATTGCATCGTGAGGGTGTAATTTAAATGTTCTCTCATCCACCATGTGTCCTGTAAATTGGTATTCAGATTCAGAGATTATTGAGGACAAGGTGTATCTTTTGCGTGGCTGCTTTAAAAGTGGAGATACACATACAGATAGACTATTTATTTTGGAATAATTTTAGATTTATAGAAGAATGCAAAGAGAGTACAGGCAGTATCCCTTTAACCAGCTTCCCCTAATGTTAACAGTTTTTGTAGTCATGGCACATTTTCCAGAACTAAGAATTTACATTAAACTACAGAGGTTATTTGACTTTTGCCAGTTTTTCTGTTAATGACATTTTTCTATTCCAGGATCTCAGGTTACATTTAGTTGTCATGTCTCCTTACTCTCCTCTGACCTGTGAGTTTTTCAGTCTTTCCTTGTTTTTTATGACCTTGATAGATTTGAAGAGTAATGGTAAGGTATTTTATAGAATGTCTCCCAGTTTGGGTTTTAGTGATATTTTTTCGTAGACTGGAGTCACAGGTTTTGGGGAAGGGTACGACCAAAGTGAGAGTCCCTTCACATCATGATATATTTTATGCAGAATTTTTGCATTTGTATTAATAAGATTAAGTTATGTTTTTCTTTTTTTCTAAACATTTATTTATTTGAAAGAGTTACAGAGAGAGAGAGAGGGAGAGACAGAGAAAGAGAGAGAAGAGAGATCTTCCATCTGCTGGTTCACTCCCCAAATGGCTGCAACAGCCAGGACTGGGCCAGGCCAAACCCAGGAGCCAGGAGCTTCATCTGGAAATCTCAAATTGCAGATGTGGCTCTGCAGGCGATGGCCTTACCTACTGTGTTACAGTGCCAGTCCCCTTGGTTTGCTTTTTTCATCCTGTCCTCTGCATTTGGCATCAAAGTTATATTAGTTTCATTTAAACAAATTAAGGAAAATCTTCTTTCTATAGTTTCTAGGAGAATCTCTTTAGAAATGTTAGGAGACCTGCATCCATTGTTAGAATGCTTGGGTTCAGTCCCCAGCTGCATCTCCTAACTCCACCTTCCTGCTAATGCAGATCCTGAGAGGCAGTACTGACGCCAAAGTAATTGGATTCCTGCCTGTCATGTGGGAGACCTGGGCTGAGGTGCCAGCTCCTGGCTTAGCCCACTGCTCACCCCGCTGACTGTTGTGGGCGTTTGGAGCATGGACCAGTGGATAAGAGCTCTCTCTTTGTCAGCTTCTCATACTAGAAAAATGGAATAAAGAAATGTATGACCCTTGAAAATTCTATAGAACTTACCAATAAAATTGAGCCTTTTTTTCACCCTCCATGGAAATACTTTAAAATATTCAGTTCTTATCAAAGATTATATGATTTACAGGTATCCCTTTCTTTTTTCTTTGAGTCTATGAAGCTTTATTATTATTTAGTATTTATATTTTTATAATATTTATATTTCTATATTTTCTGTGAAGTTTTATCATTTATTTATTTTCATCTTATTTGAAATACAGAGAGAGAACGATATTCCTCATCTGCTTATTTACTCCCCAAATGCACCGCCAGAAGCTTGGAACTCAATCTAGATTTCCCATGTGGTAGGGAGCGAAGTACTTAAGCCATTACTTGCTGCCTCCCAGGGTGCACACTGGCAGGAAAATGGAATTGGAAGCAGAGCCAGGACTGAAACCTAGGCACTCCAGTATGGGATGTGGGTGTTCCAAGCAGCAGCATTCTATGCCAAATGTCTGCTGTAGTTTTCTGTTTCAAATTTCAAAGTAGGGTTTGGTGTTGTGGCACAGCAAGTTAGGCCGCCATTTTCAGTGTCGGCATGCCATACTGGAGTGCTGGTTCAAGTCTCAGCTGCTCTGCTTCTCAACCAGCTTCCCACTAATCGGCCTGGGAAGGCAGTGGAAGATGGCCCAAGTACTTGGGATCCTGTCTACTATGTGGGAGACCAGGATGGAATGTCTCCCAGCTTCAGCCTGGCCTAGACCTGGCTGCTGTGGCCATTTGGGGAATAAACCAGTGGATAGAAGATCTCTCTCTCTCTCTTTTGCCTTTGAAAAAAATAAATCTTTTAAAAAATTAAATTTCAAAATGATTGGCACAAATTTATTCATGTTATTTTCTATTAATATGTGTTACCTTATTCCTAATATTTGTGTGTACCTTCTCTCTTTCTCTATTAATCTTCCTTGAGTTTTATGAATTTAATGTATTTTTTTTTAAAAGAACAGATTTTAGGTTGCAGGATCTTCTTTTTGACTCTTGTTTTCTATTTCATTAATTTTATGCTTTTTTTTAAAAGCTTTTATTTAATGAATACAAATTTCATAGGTACAGCTTTAGGAATATAGTGGTTTGTTGCTTTCTTTAACTCTAAAAGTCGAAGCTATACTCTGCCTTCTTTTCTAATACATATTTTAGGCATTTATATAACTTTTTGAATAATATATTAACTGTATTCCACTCTGATTAGCTTTAAGCTAGATGAAAAGTTGAGATGTTTGGTGTCGTCAATGAATGCTTGTTGAACAAGTAAAAGCCTTTGGTAGAGAGAGAGGTCATTTCAAAAAGGAAAGACTGTTCCTTACTGTTCTCGTGATCTGTTTGGGTTGATGATGCCTCTCATTCATTGCTGTTTTTGTTGTTGTTGTTTAAAGACTTATTTATTTATTTGAAGGCAGAGTTACGGAGGCAGAGGCGGGGAGGGGGGCGGCGGGGGGACTTCCATCTGCCGGTTCACTCCCTAAATGGCCGCAGCAGTCAGAGCTGCGCTGATCCAAAGCCAGGATCCAGAAGCTTCTTCCAGGTCTCCCATGTGGGTGCTGGGGCCCAAGGACTTGGGCCATCTTCTGCTGTTTTCCCAGGCCACAGCAGAGAGCTGGATTGGAGGTGGAGCAAACAGGACTTGAACTGGTGCCTATATGGGATGCCAGCACTGCAGACCAGGGCTTTAACCCACTGCACCACATCACTGGCCCCTCATTGCTTCTTTCTTTAGTTAGGTTTTTCTTTTTTCTTCTCTTTTCAGTTGTTGTACATATTTATGAAATGGTGTGACATTTCAATGCATGCAGTGTGTAACGTTCACATCAAGGTAATTAGCAGACATTTGGGAGGTGGAGGTATTAACAGACATTTATCATTTCTTTGTTTTAGAAACATTCAAAATCCTCTTTGCTGTTTTGAAATTTTCTATTAATTGTCAATCATAGGTTTTTCCTTTGCAAATTTGCTCTGAACTTACTTTTCTTCCAAAGTATTGTCCTCGTGAACTTCCTTGAAGATGGCAGCATGTCTGTGACTGGAATTATGGGACATGCTGTGCAGACTGTTGAAATCGTGAGTGAAGGAGACCACAGAGTGAGAGAGAAGCTGATGCATTTGTTCACGTCTGGAGACTGCCAAGCTTACAGCCCTGAGGATCTGGAGAAGCGGAAGAACAGCCTAAAGAAATGGCTTGAGAAGAACCACATCCCCATCACCGAACAGGGAGATTCACAAAGCACTCTCTGTGTGGCTGGAGTCCTGACTATAGAACCACCATATGGTCCAGAAAATTGCAGCAGCTCTAATGAGATTATTCTGTCCCGTGTTCAGGATCTTATTCAAGGACATCTTGCAGCTTCCCAGTGAGAGGCCAAGAACTGTGGACACACTGATTGAAATAAACTTCATTTTTTTCCACTATGAAATGCTTTGAATGTAAATCCATTATATTACAGGACTTCAAAGGCACATGAGTATGTGTGTGTTAATTCTTTGTTATTTCCTAAAATCAAATAAGTGGATTTTTAAAAAGATTTTATTTATTTATTTGAGAGGTAGAATTATAGACAGTGAGAGGGAAAGACAGAGAGAAAGGTCTTCCATCCGCTGGTTCACTCCCCAAATGGCTGCAACAGCCGGAGCTGCTCCTATCCGAAGCCAGGAGCCCGGAGCTTCTTCCAGTCTCCCGTAGGGGTGCGGGGGCCCAAGGACTTGGGCCATCTTCTACTGCTTTCCCAGGCCATAGCAGAGAGCTGGATTGGAAGTGGAGCCCCTGCTGTCCACATGGGAGACCTGGAAGAAGCCCCTAGCTCCTAGCTTTGCCTTGGCTCAGATTTTTCCATTGCAGTCATCTGGGGAGTGAATCAGTGGATGGAAGATTTTCTTTTTCTGTCTCTCCCTCTCTGTAACTCGGATTTTCAAATAAATAAATAAATCTTTAAATATATATATATATATATTTCCTTTTTTTTTTTGGGCAAGAGATGTATTTGCAAAAAATGTAACATGGTAGAATGAATATAAAATGTCAAGGTAAAATCACAGTGTTGGGGCAGGTGTTATGGTGGAGCTTTTCATAAGAGAGTGACAGTTCAAGTCCTGGCTACCCTGCTTCCAGTCCAGCTTCCTGCTAATGCACCTGGGAAGGTAGCAGATGATGGCCTAAGTACTTGGGCCCCTGCCTTCCATATGGGAGACCTGGAGTTCTGGGCTACTGGCTTTGGCCTGGCCCAGTCCTGGCTGTTGCAGCCAGTGTGAAGCAGTGGATGGAAGATCTCTTACTGTCTTCCCCCCTCCACCTACCAAAGTGTGACAAGGTATTCTGTTGAATGCAACACAGCCATTTGCCTAGTGGATTCAGGCCAGCTTACAGCCTTAAACTCTTTGCTTGTAGTCTCTCTCCCCTGAGTCATCCTTTGCTTTGGGGAGAAAAGATAGTAATTGTATTTTGTCTACACTGGACCCTATCCCTTGGAAGCCAGTCAGGGGCCAAGACTCTGTGTAGAGCTTCCAGACTAGAAAGGCATCTATTAGTTTGGGAGTCTTTTCAGGTGCATGTCTAGAATGGCCCCCAAGGAGCCCATGTGAGATTAGAACTTCAAGCCCCTAACTTCCTAGAACTGGGGTTGGCAAATGGACAGTCTTTCATTGTTCTCCCAGGCACATTAGCAGAGAGCTGGATTGGAAGTGGAACAGCCAGGACTTGAACTGGTACCCACGTGGAATGCCAGCATTGCAGGTGGTGGCTCAACCTGCTGCAGCACAATGCCAGCCCCTACTCTGCTTCTTATCCAACTTCATGCTAATGTGTCTGGGAGGCAGCAGATGATGGCCCAAGTACTTGGGCTCCTGCCCCCTATGTGGGTGATCCAAATAGAGGTGCTGGCTTCTGGGTTTGGCCTGGCACAGTCCTGGCTATTGCAGAAATTTGGGAAGTCAACCAGTGGCTGGAAGGTCTCTCTGTCCCTGCCTCTCTTTCTGTCACTCTGACTTTCAAGTAAATGAGTAAATCTTAAAAAAAAAGGGTGGGGGTGGAGGATTTAGAAGTAATTGAATTCAGCATGAAAATGTTTCTGACAAGGTGAGGAAGGCCCTTGGACAGGGAGAAATCATGTAGGGAAATACCCACAGTATCAGACTTGATGTTGGCCCAGGGGCAGGTTTTGGTGCATTGGTGTTGGTAGATTTATTTGTCATCAGACTAATGAGCCGAGGACATAGATTGTATCTTGGCAACTGAGTGCTCTGATTGTTGAAACAGTTTGCCTGCACACAAAAGCTGAGTGCTGGCAAGGGTTAATGATCCCATAGGCCTTAGAAACCTGCCTACTTAGGGAGTTTCCCTAGCCAGCTCCTCAGCCAGGGTTCCTCCTCGGAGATTAACTCACCTGTCTCAGATCCCTCCTTGGGGCTGTCAGCATCTGTGGTTCCAAGTTCTCTGGAGAGAGATGCCTCCCCAAAGCTGGCTCTGCCAACTGCCAGCTCTGGATGGCAGCCAGTGCCGTCTTTGAACACAGTATCAAGAATGTTTTTTAAAACAGAGTAATGTTTTGACTTATCCTCGAGAAATTCTGGTCTCCTTGGAAGCATAGTTTCTAACCTTTGCACTGAGTTCTTCCCATCCCATGGTATAACTGATTTCCTAAAACTCTGCACTTCCTCCTACAAATGCGGCTGAAATGGATGTTTCCACTAACTAATTTTTTTCCTTAAAAATTTTTTTTATTGGGGCCGGCGCTATGACACAGTGGGTTAAAGCCTTGGCCTGAAGCTCCAGCATCCCATAAGGGCGCAAGTTCCAGTCCCGGCTGTTCTGCTTCTGATCCAGCTCTGCTATGGCCTGGGGAGGCAGTAGAAGATGACCCAAGTCCTTGGGCCTCTGCACCTGCATGGGAGACCCGGAAGACGCTCCTGGTTCCTGTTCGGCACAGCTCCAGCCATTGCAGCCATCTGGGGAGTGAACCAGTGGATAGAAGACCTCTCTCTGTCTCCACCTCTCTCTGTAACTCTGTCTTTCAAATAAATAAAAATATAAAATCTTAAAAAATTTTATCTTTTAATTCCAGTTTTTTTAAGGTTTTTATTTATCTTTTTTTTTTTTTAAAGATTTGTTTTATTTATTTGAAAGACAGAGTTGCAGAGAGAGGTAGAGACAGAGAGAGGTCTTCCATCCACTGGTTCACTCCCCAGATGACCGCAACAGCCGGAACTGCGCCGATCCGAAGCCAGGAGCCAGGAACTTCTTCCGGGTCTTCCACATGGGTGCGGAGGTCCAAGGACTTGGGCCATCTTCTACTGCTTTCCCAAGCCATAGCAGAGAGCTGGATTGGATGAGGAGCAGCCGGGACTAGAACTGGCGCCCATATGGGATGCCGGCACTTCAGGCTAGGGCATTAACCTGCTGCGTCACAGTGCGGGCCCCTTTATTTATCTTTTTGAAGGCAGAGTTAGAGAGGGAGAGACACAGAGAGATCTTCCATCCACTGGTTCACTCCCCAAATGGCCACAATGGCTAGAGCTGGGCCAATCTGAAGCCTGGAACCAGGAGTTTGCTCTAGGTCTCCCATAGCACTTGGGCTATCTTCCACTGCTTTCTCAGGCTATATGCAGAGAGCTGGATCGGAAGAGGAGCAGTCAGGACACGAACTGGTGCCCACGTGGGATGCTGGTGTCACTGGTGGAGACTCTGCCTACTATACCACTTCGCCAGCCTCGTAACTATTTTTTTTTAAGTAAAAATCTAAAAACATTCACAATCGTTTTAGTTTGATGAGAATTGGTGAATATTTTATGATGTCTCAAAGTAGGCTGAAGACAAGAATCACAGATAGGGATTACTACATAATTCATGCTTAAATTTTGAGAGGAATCAGAGCATAGAGAGGCTAGATTTATTTATTCATTTGAAAGTTACACAGAGAGAAGGAGAAGCAGAGAGAGAGAGAGAGAGGTTTTCCATCTGCTAGTTTACTTCCCAATTGGCCGCAACGGCCAGAGCTGTGCCAATCTGAAGTCAGAAGCCAGGAGCTTCTTCTGTGTCTTCCATGTGGATACAGGGGCACAAGGATTTGAGCCATGTTCTACTGCTTTCCCAGGCCATAGCAGAGAGCTGGATCAGAAGTGAAGCAGCTGGGAGTCGAACCAGAGTCCATATGGGATGCTGGCACTGCAGGTGGCAGCTTTACCTGCTACGCCACAGTGCTGGCCCCACAATTTGTTTCTATACTTAAACAATCTTACAGCATTAAATATTTTTTTCAAATTTTTTCCAACACCCATGCCTGCTTTCCACTTTGCATATTACTTTAAATACATTTAAAAAGAATTTTACATAGTGGCTGGCACTGTGCCATAACAGGTAAAGCCTTCTGATCCAGCTCCCTGCTAATGTACCTGGGAAGGCAGTGGAGGATGGGCTAAGTGCTTGGGCCCTTGTACCCACGCAGGAGACCCAGAAGCTCCTGGCTCCTGGCTTCGGCCTGGCTCAGTTCTGGCCATTGTGGCCATTTGGGGAGAGAACCAGCAGATGGAAGATTTCTCTCTGCCTCTGCCTCTGCCTCTGTATAACTGCCTTTCAAATAAATAAGTAAATCTTTAAAACATAATGTTTTAAGGTTACTTGAACTTGAGTTTTTTTTTTTTTTTTTTAAGACATTTATTTTACTTGAAAGTCACAGTTACACAGAGAGAGGAGAGGGCTTTCATCTACTGATTCACTCCCCAGTTGGCTGCAATGGCTGGAGCTGTGCGGTAAGCCAGGGGCCAGGAGCTTCTTCCTGGTCTCCCACGTGGGTGCAGGGGCCCAAGGATTTGGGCCATCTTGCTCTGCTTTCCCAGGCCATAGCAGAGAGCTGGATTGGAAGTGGAGTAGCCAGGTCTCAAACTGGTGCCCATATGGGATGCCAGCACTGCAGGCGGTGGCTGTACCTGCTATGCCACCACGCTGGCCTCTTGAGTTTCCTTATTAATTAGCAATTCTCCATGTGTCTGTTTATAATGAATATGGGAGCTGTTTGACTCATATCGTTTTAAAAAATTGGACAAGAAATTATTTCTCCCATATTTCATCATTCTGTTTCATTCTGTTTCAGTCTACCTCAGATATGTAAATAAAACTACATCATATATGTACTCTTTTCCTTTTTAACTTATTTTGATGTAATTTCACATTGGCAGGAAATTTGCAAGACTAGGGTAAAGAATTCCTATATATATTCTTCACTTAGAAAATGTTAACATTTGCCCTCATTTGCTTTTTTATATGTATTTGTTTTGCTCCCTGAACTGCTTGAGAGTAAATCATGGATAAAATGGGACAATGAGGGTATTTTCTAAAGTAACTGTATATGGGGCTGGCGCTGTGGCGAAGTGGGTAAAGCCGCCGTCTGCAGTGCCGGCATCCCATATGGGTGCTTGTTCGAGTCCCGGCTGCTCCTCTTCCAATCCAGCTCTCTTCTGTGGCCTAGGAA